GGGGGGTTGAATAAATAAATTATTGCACTTGAGGAGTAGGGAGGTGGGCAAATAAAGAAGAAATCATGGGGATTGATATGCACTTGAAGACTTTAGAATCCATAATAAAAACCCGTCACAGTGGTTATACAGTGGTGTTTGTAAATATCATTGCTCTGAGGCAGAAGCTGTTCAGCCTGGTCTTGTGGGCATACAGGGCTCTGTAGCGCCTGCCTAATGGCAGAGAAATGAAGATGCTGTGGTTGTGGGTGGGCTCCTTGCAGATGTTCCCGGCTTTGTGGTAAAATATTTTTATTTGTTTGAGCGATTGAAACAGAAATGACACCTTCGTGGTGAAGACGTTTCCACTCTCCGTCCAGTAGGCGTCGCTAGAGGCTTTTCGAACTGCTTTATCCGCGGACGCAAACGCACAAAGCTTTCGTTTTCCTCTCTTTCCTGACATGCGCAGTACAAACAATAACCTGGAATAATGGCGGTTCCCAGCAGGTCCACGAAGGAGCGGCTGTTATCCGTTTTAGACGATCTGGAAGTGTTATCCAGGTGCGTATTTGGTGAAGCTGCGTCACGGCACAGAGTCTCAGATTATTACTGAAATTAATTTAGGAAATACTATAGCGGGATTTACGAGCTGTGCTGAAACTTCCTCTTACACTTACTAGGGACCAGATGGTTTAACTTTCTTGTACCTCTTTTTTATCAAATGAAATTTCAGCAGCTGTCTAATGTACATATGTTTGATGTCGTGTGTCTGGTTGTAGAGACTGTCCATAAGATTAGAAATGAAGCAAATATGCATTTTCCACAAAATATGTTTTCCTGTGTTTATTTTATTACTGTTGCTGTATTACTGGTAATTAGCAAACTCTGATCATCACAGAGAGCTGATTGAAATCCTTGCCTTGTCGAGGAGCCAGAAACTGCCCCAGCCTGGCGAGGACACCCAGGTAAGGGGATGTGTCGTTTGATGTGTCACGTCCGAGCCCCTGTCGCCCTGCCGCCGTGTGATTTCTCCTGATCCCTCCGCAGATCCTTGAGCTACTTGTGCAGAGGGACGGGGAGTTCCAGGAGCTAATGAAGGTAGCACAGAAGCAGGGAAAAGTTCACCAGGAAATGCAGCTCCTGGAGAAAGAGGTGGAGAAACGGGACAGCGACATCCAGCAACTGCAGAAGCAGCTGAAGGAAGCAGAGCACACACTGGTGAGCTGGGATGCACTGAGCTTTTTGAACAATTTTAGTCCATTGGAGTTTAGATGTTCTGCTGCATGTTCTCTTGTTATGTTAATACTAAACAACTGCAGTAAAGGGAAGCTACATTCTCTGACCAAAACAAAGACAATTTCTTGCCGCCTGTTTCAAGATGCAGTCATTTAACTTAAGTCCCTGCATACTCCAGATTCCTCCTGCAATCCAAATACACACAGTCTATTTAGTTGGTGTCTGTAAATTGCCTCTAGGATTTGTTTGTATCTGCCCTGCAGTGAACTGGCATCCTGTCATAGATATACCTGGGGTTTGTACCCTGTGCGGCTCCAGTCAGTTGGTCTGGATCTGGTTCTAATTATGATATTTTCTCTCCAAGGCAACGGCTGTATACCAAGCAAAGGAAAAATTAAAATCCATCGAAAAGGCCAGAAAAGGTTGGTTAGTTGTGACTGACAACAGAATGGAATTGTTGATATGTGTTTGAAAGGGACTTCTTGTTTGTAAATTTTTTTTTTTTTTTTTTTAAGGAAGCATCTCTTCAGAGGAGATCATCAAGTATGCCCACAGAATCAGTGCCAGCAATGCAGTGTGTGCTCCTCTCAACTGGGTACCAGGTGTGTATGAAGGGAGAAAAGATGGCCCTGTGGTTAAGGGCGTTGGCCTGGGACTTTTTATGTAAAAAATAAAAAATTATGAGAAAATTAGATGCTTTTTCCCCTTCCAAGCAAGCATGTATTAATTTGCTGATTAAAGCTCTCTGGTTGATGGCCACAGGTGACCCACGCAGGCCGTACCCCACCGATCTCGAGATGCGCAGTGGGATGCTGGGTCACATGAGCAACCTGGCCTCCAATGGTGTGAACGGGCACCTTCCTGGTGACGCTCTGGCTGCGGGCAGACTGCCAGGTATGCCACCTGTCTGCTTTGGTTTGTTTGCAGATTGCTTTGAATTTGAATTGAAGCAGATTTTCAAAACAGTTAGTTGTTTTCCAAGGCGATTCGTAATATTTGTTGATGACTCATTATTCTCGCCTTCGGAAATTACCATTTGTATAATTAACTTTCAACCAGTAACACGGACCACAGAACAAAACAAACACTGCTTCTACAAGCTAAGCTTTCAAGTCTCCTCTGGGAATAAGGTCCATTAAATTTTTCCTTATATTTGTGAGAACTTGCATGATGTCATTGAGACTTCACTGCAGCACAGTTACGTCATGCAGTAGTGCAGTGTCTGTCAGGCCTACTCTGTCCTATGCGTCACAGCTGCGTTCCCCCCTGACTGCTTCTCTTCTGACCCCTTTTCCCAGATGTGCTCACGCCACAGTACCCCTGGCAGTCCAGTGACGTGTCCATGGGCATTCTACCACCGCACCATGGCAACGACTTCGCTCTGGAGCCCCCAGGCCACAACAAGGAGAACGAAGATGATGTGGAGGCCATGTCTACAGATTCATCCAGCAGCAGCAGCGACTCGGACTGAGAGGGACACACAGCGCGCTACCTGAGTAGAATATGACCCAATCTGTCTGTGACTGCCAAACCCAACTCCACGATTCATAGAAAAAGTATTAAAGCCTAGAATATTAATTATTGTAATCACAAGTACGGGTGTTGCTATTGGTAAACAAATGATCCCCCATAAAATAGCCATCTGGTAACTTCATAATAATCTCTGCTGTAAATTGTTCTGTACTTCGCAGTACAGATATTCATTATATTACCAGCAGGGGAAACTGTCATCCGCCACAATTGTTTCAGGTGATCTGTACACTCGGCACCTTCTAAACTTACAAAGAATTTTAAAGAATAAAGATCCGTCAGATACTGCCTGAGGGTCCGAGGTCCTGCATTCATAGTCAGTGCTGAGGAAGAGAGCCACTTACTACGCCATACAGTCCATCTCTGTTTGGTCCTGTTCCATGTGACTGGAATATGGGTGCAGTGTTGTGCTGTAGCCTAAACTCAACAGGCATTTGTACATTTCTCAGGCTCCTTGAAGTATCTTTGCTGAGCGTGGTCCTCATACCAGGTGCATTCTGTGGAATTTTGAAATACATTAAATTGATTATGTATTTAGTGGCCTTGCAGATTTTTAAATTGTGCTCCTTTTATATTGGATTATTTGTCTGAATATTCATAACAGCAGGACTTTAGACATTCAACCTCTTGGTTAAACGGGTGGCCTCTTGCTCACTACACTTGCAGCTGGGTTGGCTTGTATTTGGAAATGTATAAAAAATATAAAAAAGGAGTCATTTATGGATGTTGTAGCTGGGTTCATGTAAACTGGAGAGAAGGTATGATTGAAGTGGCAGACTGTCATGTTTTGCTTAAACTGTAAATAATACTGTACATAAATCTTCCTATGTTGTAAATAAAGAACAATCTTTAGTAAACTTGTTAATTTTGGACTTTGTTTTTAAGGATTTTTATTAATTGTATTTAATTAAGTGTAATTAAATTGAGAAACCACTAACTTGTGCAGGCAAATAGAAAGTTTACACATTTTAAAATGTATTACATTACATAACTTTGATTGCATTTATAGTCAAACTTTACTTGACATTGCATTGTTTTAGCAATATTTTACCAACATATATGTGACAGCTGCTGTGAAATGCTTTACAAATGGGGGGAGTGTGTGACTCAATGGGTTACGGCTCAGCGTCTTTGATCAGAAGCCCTTGAACAAGGTCCCTAACAGTAACTATTCCAGATGTGCCAGACACTGGCCAACCTTGTGCTGTGACACAAAACTTGGTGTCACCTGTCTCATGGAGAGTATAGATATATAGACAATTTCCACAATAAATAGAATAAAGTCTATTCTATTCTATTCTATTCTATTCCATAAACACAAAGTAAAAGACTGTGCTTAGACCAGTGTGGACACCTCAATCCTAACCATTGTGAACAAGCCCAGGAATGACCATTTGGACTTCTGGATTATGTCAGGAGCTCAAGGTGTATCTCAATCAATGCTGAAATTAATTTTGAAATACTTTCTTGAGTAAAATTGTGTAAATTGACCGCAAGATTGGTATAAAATAAAATTAAAACTTAAAATATCCCTTAGAATGCACTAAGAGAATGGAAGGCATGGACTTTGAATATGAACGGACTTGATTCTGGAATTTCTCATAGAGCCACTTTTGTGGTGGGGGTGGAATAAATCTTATAATAAAAATTAAATCTTAAATATGCTACGTAGGATCTCATATACATTGGTGTGTGTGTGTGTGTGCGTGCAATATATATCAATGCCTATAAGAGATCCTACTTAGCATATGTAAGATTGAATATATACATTTGTGTGTGTCTGGTTCCAAATGTCCTCCACAATGTGATAAAAACTTATTTTGACGTTGTGGGGACCATTTTTCAGGTCCCCACAAAGATCAGTGGATGCAATCAAAAAACTAAAAATGCTTCTACATGCAGGTTTGCAGACCTAGCCTTTGTGGACACTAATAGCCTTAGTAGTCATGCACTTCTTTCCTGAGTAAGGGGGCTAACAGACTTGAAAGAGTTGATGCTGGGAAATTCAAACTGGAAAAATAGTCATATCAGCCCTTGGCACAGGTGTGCAACTTGTTTGTACTTCTATTTTGTTATACGTTGCAGGAATTCAACAAATATAACCGTATGAAAGGCTTTAAAGTAATCAACAGTGTGATACTTTTCACCATCTCAAAAGTCAAACAAGGACCCCACGGCAAGAGAACTTTTGACATCTTCCGTCGGACCACGTGACTAATAACCGCTCAGTGCGCAACCGCCACTTGAGCATCGTGCGCCAATGCGCAGGCGCAGCCCTAGGATTTGTTATTCTACAGTGGACTGTATACGGAAACATGGCGGCGACCCTGATTTGTGGCCGGCTAGCTGCTAGATTGAGGAATTCTGGGTCCGGAAAGACACTAAGCAATGCATCCAAGGTTAGTGTATCAGAATGTCAAATTAAACAGATCCAGCTGTCGATCGGACTTACCTGAATGCCTCTCCGTCAACCAGATTGTCAGAATATGTCTCGAAAGTGACAGGGTCACATTTGACATTACGTTATGAATACCGCTACAGGGCTTGCCTTCTGGTAAGGTGTTTATGTTTTGTCTCTGTTAAGGGATTAATCAAATACCTCACCTTTGCAGATCAACCGTATTGTTAAGTGCCAAAGTAGTACTAGCTAACTTGTATGGTAGGTGGTACCGATTAATTCTTCAGTCCTTCTCGTTCGGGTTTGACCTCCACTGCAGTTCGTGCGGACAGCGAGAAACCGATCAGTGTGCACCTCACTTTTTTCTTTTCCTCTTTTTCTGGTAGCTGTAAAGCCGATGTAACATTATAGGCCAGATAGAATGCTCTCTGCGGTAGGAATAGTACAGTTGTCACTTTGTGGATATGGATCATTTTCCGCGATTATATAATTTACATGTTACATTGGTTTCGGCCGAATATTGCGTAGATCTCATTGGAAAATGTAACTTTAGTATATGGTTTCAGAATCAGTTTGATTTACGGTTTTACATTAATCCTTCCAGCCCAGATGGCAAGTAGGAAAGCCGGTGTTCTGTCATAAAATACTACCTATCGAGACGTGCTATCGAGCCTTTCTGCGCATGTGTAGTTCCACCGTTTTGGGATTAGGGTTAGGTTTTAGGGGTTAGGGTTAGGGTTAAGGTAAGGGTTATGGGGGGTTAGGGTTAGGGCTATCGATTAGCACTACGGTAACATTTTTCGACAAGGCAGCATATATCGACAGAACACCGGGAAGGAAACTGTTGTCAGTTACGTCCTTTAGCGGTCCCTCGGTTTTGGTATCGTGAACTTTCACCTAATCTTATGTCCAACTCTTGGGCGTCCGAAGATTGAACTTTCACAGTGATCATAAAACTAATGGGCGTAGTAGTTACTTTATACTATAGCAATTATGGAGTCCTGGTAGTTGGACAAAATGTAATTTGAGGTTGATAACTCTGTCAAACCACACGTTCGGCAGCCAAAACTAGTAAAGTGGTACAAATTATTCTGTAATTATTTGCAAACATAACTATATCTTTTGATTGTAAATTATTATTATTATATGTAATTTTACACCCCATCTTTCATAACCAGAGGGAAAGCGTGCATAATGAGAAGGTTAGTTATGGTGGATAGGTGATATCCTAATATCTCATGACAAAAATATTAAAGTAAATGAAATTACAGTATGGGGTGGTGCAGCGTTCCCCCCCCCCCCCCCCCCCCCCCCCCCCCCCCCCCCCCCCCCCCCCCCCCCCCCCCACGGCCTTTGTACCTGATGTCCATGGTTTTGGCTTCTACATGTACTGGTGGGGGGGGATATGTGGTAAATTTAAAAATTAATATCAATTCAAATTCATTTAGATAAATTAGACAAAAGATGACTCAGTGAAAAACAAATAAAATCAATTAAAGTTTGTCCACACCGGTTTTGTCCAGACTCAGACTTAACAGAAAGAGCTTTTCCTGATTCTGTATGTTAACATTCTGAGTCTCTGCCTTCCTTTGCAGACAGCTGTACCCAAATGATTGACCTATCCATGCTCATTTTTAGCTTTACTCAGTTGGTGTTCAGAATTTATTATTTGCAGCCCCCCATACATACAGTGTACTGAGCTGAGTTTTTCCCCAGGTCCTGTGTGTGACCCCCAGCCTGTTTGGGGGCCAGGGCACTCTGCAACGGCAGCCACGACGAAATCTCTCCCTGCATGAGTACCTGAGCATCGGCCTGCTTAAGGACTCGGGCATCTCCGTACCCGCAGGCATGGTGGCCAGCACGCCGGAGGAGGCTTACACTGTGGCCAAAGAGATCGGTACGCTCCTCTGGGTGGGCGTGAGGCGCTTAAGTTCCTATGAAGGTGTAACGTCCGTACTGTGAGCCAACAGCTAATCGTGCTGCATTCGTACAAGTAAGGCCTGTTGTGACATTATCAGGATGCAATGGGTAGTTATTCAGATGAAGGGTAGCATTCTCAGGAACTGCTTTCTGAAGGTTGTGCTTAAGCATTCAGAGAGAGGATGTGCTCCCATAATGTCCACAGGCTTTGTCAGGTTTGGGGACGTTCTGACACAGGGATTTTGGTAATCGTGTTTTCAAATGCGTAACATGAAAACTTTATTAGACTGATCTCTGTTGTCTCTGAGTCTCTGCTATTCTGAAAGCTCCCTGGTATGCTGGGAATTGCTGACTTCATAGGTAATGCTAATAACTCGTAACAGACCACCACCCATGATGTACTATTATGGTAACGTGTTTCTGCATAGTCCCCTGGCCGTTGCCCCATCTGTTGTCTGTTCTGGCTTGTTCTTTGTTCACGCTGCCTGTATTCCAGCGAAAAACAAACACTGCCGCTCCAATCAAAAAGTATTGTGGGGACCTGTTGTGTTCTCGTCATCTTGTGACAAGAAGTTAAAGGTGGTGGCTGAAATAGCCAGTGAACACTCAGCATTCTGCTGCCGTGGTTCTTTATGGAAGCTTGACTGCTGGTGTGGACGCCTTGCAGCCTAAATATAGTTCACTGGTGTCAGATACAGTATGTCACAGTTCCTCCGGGCCAGCAGCCAATCAGACTCCTTCTCTATGAAGTATACCCAATCTGGTCACAGATTGAAACTGAGCACCAACATTAAATACACAGAAAATTGTCCTCAAGCATAGTGAGTAGGTTTTAACATGTCGAGGTGCTGGATTCAGAAACTGTTGTGTTGTCTCCCAGATGTTTGAGTGGTATGTAACGCCTCCTTAAAGGACATTTAATATTTCCAGCACACTGGCTAGAAGATGACGAAACTGAAATGGAATATCAACACTGAGAGTGTGTTTGATTGGTTGATGTGATTTTCTGTGTTGGTACCCAAACCCCATTGGCTCTCCCATGCTGCTGTCACTGCTTTTTTCCTGGTCCCCCTGTGTACTGGTTTTCATGGCAGAAAACCTCAATGGTAAAAAATAATAATAGGATGACTGAAGGGGAACTTTTCTCAGGTATCAGAGTGGAGATGAGTGTATCAAAACTCCAGTGATTAATATAAGCAAGACACCACATTAGCTTCAGGACATGGGAAACATAGGAAAGCTTAACTGACCGCAGTGCTTGTGGACGGCTGGGCCTAGGCATGCCTTCATAAGGCCAGCAGAAAATCCTTTGAAAAAATTGATTAATGAAAAAGTGATTAATTGCTCAGAGCACTCAGTGGTACCGTTCTGGATTCAAACCAGTAACTTTCGATCACAGGCACACTTCCCTAACCATTAGGCCACCACTGTCCAAACTCTTGCATCTAGCTGAAGTAGCTGGAATGAATGGATTCAGCCCTTGTTTTGAACGTTGTCTTAAAATGTCATTCAAACCAAGTCTCAATAAAAGTTCTGTTATTTGATATTGTTGGTATCATGCAATGTCTTGATAGTTGAATATTACTTTTGAAAAACACTGAATTAATTATGTAAGGCATTTCTTGCACTCTAATCCTTCTATACAGACACTTTATTTATTGTGTTATTATGTATGTCTGATATTCCATACAACACACGAGATTACGAGGGATACAATAGTGGAATAAGCAGAAGGAATGCTGCTCCGTAGGCATGCGCAGGAATTGACATGTATTGAGTAATGCTATTCTGTATTTTTTTGTCATTTTGAGATGTACATTTTTTAATAGAGTAGTGTTACTACTTATTATCAATTTTTATTTTTATAATGTTTTAGGATAGTGTTAGTAACTTGAGCACAACAGTTACTTAAATGTTGGATTTGACAGCTTTTACTGTAGGACAAACTTGACAGTAAACAGTACTGTTTATTGTAAGTGGGGGGATGTTTGCTCATTCAGATGAATATCTAAGACCAATAACCTCCACAGAGATGTGAATAAATGTCAACTAAGTTACTGCTGATTAACCTGAAGTGTAACCATGGTATCCAGTGTGGGCTGGGTGGGAGGGCGGTGGACGAGAGCTACGTTTCAGCTTGAAAACAGAGGTGCCAGCATTGTTTGCGATGACCCCCCCCCCCTCCTGTGCCCCCACATCTCTCTCAGGCTCCAAGGACTTGGTGGTGAAAGCACAGATACTGGCTGGAGGCAGAGGGAAGGGCACCTTCGAGGGGGGGCTCAAGGGCGGCGTGAGGATCGTATACTCGTGAGTATTTTGACACACATGCACACGCACACAGACACACACACACACACACACACACACACTGCCTTACCCTAATCCATGGTTCACTGGGTTCCAGACATATATGAACATGTCACTTATGAACATGTCACTTTAAATACTCATATACTACCTGGCCAAAAAAAGTCACTGTTTGACTATAAATCAGCAAATACCTAAGAGCCAATGACTTGATCCTTATTACAGCTCAGCAATGTTATGCAGCAATAAAATGAAGTCAGCTGAGTACCTGAATCTCCTGAATGGCCAGGTTATCCCATCAATGGATTTTTTCTTTCCTAATGGCATGGGCATATTCCAGGACGATAATGCCAAGACTCATCGGGCTGTAATTGTCAAAGAGTGGTTCAGATGTGCTGAAGAAGACTTTACGGAGTTCAACTCACCAATCATCAGTACAAGATCTTGACGAGAAATGAATGCAAATGATGGATTTTTTAATTATTTTTTTTTTGTTTGAGATCTCGTACAAGCACGTGGAAACAATGCATTAACAAATAATCAAAGCTAATGGTGGCCAATGATATATTAAAGTATGTGACTTTTTTTGCCCAGGCAGTGTGTTTCATATGCATACAGTCTCATCCAGTATATGAGTGTTTATACATTATGGGAATATTTAAGTTTTAATAACATGGTTTATTCTGTGTGTGAAACATTATTGGCCAGTTTCCCAGTCAAGGATTAAGCCTAAGCCTAGACTAGCTTTGAGTTTCAATGGTGAATCTCCATTGATACTGCAATTTAGTCCAAGACTAGGCTTAATCCTTGTTTGGGAAACTGGCCTTATATGCTTATGCTTTTATTGGTATGTGCATGAAGCATTTTTAATATACCAGCCTTTCCCGAACTGATTATTGTGTGTGTGTGTGTGTGTGCGCTTGCGTGCATGTATTTGTGTGTGTGTGTGCTGGCAGCCCCGAGGAGGCCAGGGACATCTCCTCAAAGATGCTGGGCAAGAAGCTGTACACCAAGCAGACGGGAGAACAGGGCCGCATCTGTAACCAGGTGTTCATCTGCGAGCGCCGGTACCCGCGCCGGGAGTACTACTTCGCCATCACCATGGAGAGGTCCTACCAGGTGAGCTGTGTTACTATGCAACCGCCGCATCCCATTGGCTGCTGGCTGTGGGATTCACATCTGTCTCCTGTTCATCAGGTCATCGTTCTCCTGAATTTATCAGGGGTGTTTGTTAGCTGTCCCTAGCAGTCATTGCAGGTCTTGGCCACTAGATGGAAATGTGGTACAACAAACTGATTCACTGGGAGGGACGTATTCATCCTTCTATGCTCTCCTGCAACCTCTCTGTATTCTTGTCTGTTTTTTGTAGCTTAATTGTGCTAATTAGCATTTCTGTATTCCAAATTAGAATAGAATTTGAGAACCATTAGGAACTAGCAGGTAAAAAGTGAAACTGGAAAAAAAACAGCTTGCCCAGGACAGAGTATTTTATTTTGATATAAAAAAAAGACAGAATATTTCAAGTCATTGTCTTTAACCTTATCTTATATAGATATAGGTATTAGGGTGCCCCCTGATGAGACCTTGCTCTCATTTCCACGGCATTGATTATGGGATCTCCTGGGGAAAAAATGTTTTTTGAGCTTTATTGGGATACATAGTAATTAAGAGTGAAAGTCTAGCTGAAGGATCAGTGAGATTTTTGAAAGAAGACATTAAATAATGAAAGGCATAGGTTGGCAATAAGAGTAATAAGTGTCCTTTTTGTCATGAAAATTTTTTTTAATTGTGACATTTCTGGACAGAGCAATGATAAGTTCAATCTGAAGCGTTTGTGCCAATTTTACATTTTCCATCAAATATGCTTGTATACCTGCTGGTACCTAATTTTATATTCTGGGTTGGAAAAACCTTTTTATTGTTTTTAAGATAAAATTTTGAATAATTAGTCAATTCAAACAAATGTAATAAATATATCCCTTTTTGCAGAGGGAACCCAAAAGTTAAAGTGAATGTGATTATCCACCTTGAATTAATACTTTTGGTTATGATTTCACCAAAAGTATTGTTGGTGAAATCTGCTCTGCTGCTCTGGTCTGCTCTCATAATTCTGATTCATCAATGATGCACGTCCCACCCCCTTGACAGTATTGGGTGCGAATTGGACCATCTGTCCTTGTCTCATATCAATTGGTCTCTTGCTGCAGGGCCCAGTGTTGATAGGCAGCTCTCAGGGAGGCGTGAATATTGAGGACGTGGCAGCAGAGAATCCCGATGCCATTGTGAAGGAGCCCATTGACATTGAGGAGGGTATCAAGATGGACCAGGCTGTCAAGGTAGCACATTAATCATGGGAGGGGTGTCCCTCACCTGTGTCACGCAAGTTCTGATTGGCAGGCGGACTTGGAAGAAGCCTGTACATGGGCTCCTAACTGACAATGTGTGCAGGGTTATTGAGATACCGTCATGAATATTGATACAGGTGCTCCTCACTAACAACATATCTGCTTACCGATCACCCGGACTTACGACAAGCTCTCCGACCAATCAGTATTGCATGCTTTACAAGAACTTTGGCAATGTTAACGCCAGTGTGGCATCTTAGCGCTAAGCAGTTATGCATATTAAAACAACATTATCAAGTCGGAGTTTCCTTTTGACTTTTTCTTTATTCAGAATAAATAAAAACGATTACCTGTCTGTATGGTATGCAAACCTAAGTAATGTATATTAGGGCTGATTTCCTCTATTCTGTATATTACACTATACAGTACAGTACTGTATAAACATTAATAAACAGGGGTGCACATAACTGATACTCATTCACCCTTAAAGCGATCGATTGTTGTACACGTATTTCATGTGCCTTTGCGCCGCTATGACAAGAAGTTACCAGACATTTGAACCTTTATTCCGCACATGAAGTACGAATACCATATTAAGGTTAAAATGCACAATAATTTCTTGTCATATCAGTGCAAATGTACATAATATACGTGCGCATTTGCACTGTTACAACAATCAATTGCTGCACATATCGCTTTAAAGGTGAATGCGTACTTGTGTACCAGTCAGTCTGTTTATAAATATATAAAAAATGTTATAAATTGTGCAACGATGACATTAAAACAATATCTAAAGATCTTTGACACAAACCCACCACCAGTACATTATGCTTGAAATATTGGTCAAGGGGCGGTTCCTCGCTTATCGACCAATTAGCTTAATGGTCTAGTCGTGGGAACAGAGCTCATTAAGTGAGAAGTGCCTGTATTCTTGAATATTGACGTAGTGCGTTGTCTGAAGCCTAACGATATGGTCCGTACCCCCTCCCAGGTGGCACAGAAGATGGGCTTCCCTCCTGCCTTGGTGAACGAGGCTGCGGAGAACATGATCAAGCTCTACGACGTCTTCATCAAGTATGACGCGTCGATGGTGGAGATCAACCCCATGGTGGAGGACTCGTCTGGCATAGGTATGTGGGGTCGCTGCCCATCACACGTCCTGCCATTTCAGCATGGGGCAGCGCGTGTGACATGCGCTGGCGCAGTGACACGGTGCTCCAGCTCCTGGGGACCTCCTCTGTTCCTCTGTGCTGCGTGGGCGGCCGTTTGTGATGGATTAGCAGAGAGGGGGGGGGGGGGGCGACGTCGTCGCAAACATGAGGGGTTCCCCTGCGGCTGTGGTGGATTACGTGCGCTGCATCTGCGTTGCCATGACATTTCAGATGTTGAACTCTCCGATTAAAATCGGTTTCGGCTTCGACGGGGGGGGCTTGTCTAAGAGCAGCAGATGTGGCTTCTGGTGAGAGTGAAGGAAGTAGATGAAGCGATGTAGAAACAGAGCGACGGCGTGGTGCTGTGGCCAGAGAAATGGCTACAGTATTTATGATGCTCTCACACCCAGAAGGGTTACGCTCAAGGGCATCAGCAGCAGCATCTATGTCGTCTTCATTTGAGTCATTTGACAGAAGGGGGAGTTCATGCCCCTTACAGATAACATGGATGCCCCTTAGTCTCAAATTCATCAGGAGACGCATCGTTATATTTGAACTTAACTAATTTATGGCAGGCTGCACTGGTGCCATTAAGATGGTATCTCATCCCAGATTTTTCTATTATTTCTTTCCAAAATGTATCATTTCTTCTCATCTCCATCTTTTTAAAAATGAATTACGTTCCGGCACTTTCCGGTTAAATAAATGGCCTCCTACAGTAGATCCCTGGCTTCTCACGCCACACAAATCATGTGCAGTTTCATCGTAAACCAGGTTCAGAGTTCATGCCGGCTACCTGTACTCTCCGCCGAGGCCTGTTTTCCCCACCAGCATTTGCTTATATTTTTTTCCCCTCTTTTGATATATTTACCTATTTTGCCTCTGTGTTTTTGCTATTCCCTTGGGACCTGTTTTATACTCCTGGGATGAGGTACAACAAAAATAAAATGTTGAAAAGCGGGTTGGGACTTTGTGTCGACAGTCGGAAGGTCACCGGTTCAAATCCCCTGGCTAGGCGAGTGATTTTACTGTTGGGCCCTTAAGCGAGGCCCTTAACCTAGATTACTCCAGGGACACTGGCTGCTTTGGATAAAAGCATCTTCTAAATAGATAAATGGAAAAAATAAAGCTTCTTCCACTGAATTCTGATAATATTATCTGGCTCTATAGAAACTGGCAAGAGTGGTATGAAATTTCCTCACAATATCGATTGGGATAAAGTTCCAATTAAGCAGTTAAAAAAAGGTTTTTTTATGGTATAATTCTGGATCTGAAGAGGCCAGGCCTTCTCCACATACATTAACTGATTCTGATTTTCCGTACTGCTGTAAGGAGAAGCTCGTCTCAGCCTGAGGCTGTGCTGAAGTGGGAAAACTCAGCTTCAGCTCAGGATATTAGTGAATGCTTGTTGTCTGCCCCCTTTATTCCAGGGTTCCCCAATTCCGGTCCTGGAGGGCCAGTTGCCTTATTAAGATCACCAGCCAATTACCAGGTCTAGTAGGTGTATTTGAGCTGGGAAATCTGCAAACTCTGTGGCAGGCTGGCCCTCCAGGACCGGAATTGGGGAACGCTACTTTATACTCTTGTTGAATTCACCTTTGACATATATATTAAGCTTTTAAGGTTCTTTCTTGGTGTCTTAAAGTAGCTTTGCTGTGCTGCTATGTAGGTCTTGATACTGGAGTCAGTTTATCCTAGTTCCCTGCAGTGAGCCACAGTTGAAGTCTTGAATGCTTTGCAGCTTTACAGTCATAGGTGTCTAATATTAAAGTGGTACGGGTTGCCGATATGGCCGAAATGTCATATCACAATATTTTTGGTTATAATAACAATTCACAATTCATAGATCATGATATTTTTGGAATGTGTGTAGTAATGTTAACCTTTTTTTTTTATACTTTTATTGATCTCAATGGGGAAATTCTCTTTACGCCTCCCCCAACTAGCTCTCTTTAGGGGAGAGCAAGCTTGTCATGAAGGGCAGCCACCTGTTGCAGCGTTCAGGGAGCTGGGGGTTAAGGGCCTTAGTCAAGGACCTGCATGTGTGCTGAGACCAGGCTCAAACCGGTGACCTTCTGATCATCGGTACAGAGGCTCAGCCCACTGAGCCACATGATTTAGAATGATTGGCTGCATTGCTACCTGTTTTATGAATGATATCTTTGCAAAGTTTGCAAATAACACTAAATTGGTCCACGTCATATTTCGCAAATGCAAACAATTTACACACAATAAAAGTAGAACCTTTTCTGGAGCCAATTTTTCCTCATCAGTCATGCTGCAGACTCATTCAATAGTGTAGCCAACACATCTATAAACATTTTATTGTTTACTGTGTGACACAAGTAGAGATCTGACTGAGAGGCACTAAGCCAGATAATTGACAAGGATGTGAGATATACAGACAGCGCTGAGATCTTCCACAGACTGAAATTGCTTGGCTTCATATTGCTCTGTTTTTGTTGTAGCAGCCTTGGAACACTATGCCATCACGTGCTGGGCACTTGCTGGTCTGTTCTGTCGTTCCAAGAACGCTTCAGTACACGGGCAACCTGCCATGCACGGGAAGCTCAGCTTACCTTCAGCAACATTTAGTAAACTCTTTGACAGCATGTATGTTTATAATGTACTACTTACCTTACTTATACATCACTTTGGACAAAAGTGTCTAAAAGGTAAATGTACAGTAAATATAGTGCTGTATCACGTTCCTTGCGATACCTCTGAATTGTGTATCGTGGATACAGTTGTAACCGGAAATATAGCCATATTGCCCACTATGAGTTGTAAATAATGCTAAAATTAGTTGTGTCTTGTGATATATCGTGGACCCTCTAAAATTGTATGTATGTAATACAGTGGCTACAGAATAATCAACTAGAATGTAAGCTGTCCTGCTGTAGTAAAATTTCTAGATACTTAAATTGGCAGTTGGCAGTTGTTTTGTGTGTTTTTGTGTGACGGAGAGCTAGAATGTTAGTGTGTAGGAAGGGGCTTCGGCCTTTGCACATCCTTCTGTTTTATGCAGTAAGTCAGCAATAATTTCATATTTTTTCCAGCATGAATATGTTTCATATTTTGACAGCTTTCTCCCTGCGCAGTGATTTTCGCGCCACTGGAGCGTGGTATAGTATTTATGAGCATAGCGACACACCTCCCAGGCAGTAACGATAAATAACGGCGCGTCTGCTTGTTCTCGGCAGTGATGTGCATGGATGCCAAGATCAACTTTGACTCCAACGCCGCGTACCGCCAGAAGAAGGTGTTCGATCTGCGAGACTGGTCCCAGGAGGACCCGCGCGACCAGCAGGCCGCCAAGGCCGACCTGAACTACATTGGATTGGACGGCACCATCGGATGTCTGGGTGAGCATAGCCTATCAGGGTCAACTACTGGGTTGAGTCACCGCAATGCATTGTGGTGTCCTCATGGCCATGTGGTTTGCTGGAATGTTCCAGGAATACCGTGCATGTGGCGGGCAGACCGACATCCGTTACGGGCCGGCGTTTCTCCCAGGCTTGGGCGGGAATGGCTAAATTAAGATATTTTTGTAGCTGCACTCTGTGTATGTTTCCATTCTGTCGTCTGACGGCCGCTTTTGCACAGTGAACGGGGCTGGCCTGGCCATGGCCACCATGGACATCATCAAGCTCCACGGGGGAACTCCAGCCAACTTCCTAGACGTGGGGGGCGGAGCCACGACAAGCCAGGTCACAGAGGCCTTCAAGCTTATCACCTCTGACAAAAAGGTGGGCGAGCTGCCAGTCGCTGTGGGGAGCTCAGTGGGTGCAGACCAGGCCTTGTGCCCCCCCTGCTGTTTACTGTGTTTGTATTGGACCTGCTAGCCATATTCTCACCCCCAACGGTGGGCTATAGTGTTTGGACGTATTCAAGTGGCTGCTGCTAATCTGAGAAATGAAGTCTGTGGTTCTCTGACCGAATAATGGGTGACTTTCAGTGGCTCTGATTGCTGCATTGTGTTTCTATGGAAACAGGTTCTGGCCATCTTGGTAAACATCTTCGGTGGCATCATGAGGTGTGACATCATCGCACAAGGGATTATCATGGCTGTGACGGATCTGGACCTGAAAATCCCCATTGTGGTTCGGCTACAAGGTCAGAGGCGCCCCCCCTTTCCTTGCCCCCGTGCCCCCCCACACTACCCCCCCGCCCCCCGCCACCTCGGCATCCTCTCTGCCACTGGTCACTTTGCGATCTGGATCGGCTGCCCAGCCTTTGCAGTGATGGGCTGCAGGAGGACAGCGCCCCCTGTGGCAGGGTGAGGATAAGCACTCCAACACGCAACTGTGGCCAGGGGCAGAAAGTAGAGAGCTGGACATACGCTTCCAGTCAGAAGTTTTTGCACACACTGAGATTTTCTACATTTGCTTACTTAACATTTCTTCACTTAACATTTATGAAGAATACACTCAATACACAATATTCTTTGCTAACAAATGAATTAACATTTTTATTTTGGGTTATTACAAAAAAAAACATATCTTTGATTCATCAAAGTAACCTCCTCTAGCAGTTAGTTAACTGCAGAGCAAAATCAAGGCGTTCTTTCTGCAAGGGACATTAAATACTGCTCTGTCTCATGGGATGAAACGGTTAACTAGTCCATTTAAAGTTAAAGGGCAGCTGAGAATTTGACTCTGCCGTCACCACACAACCAGCTAATAGGATGTCAGACATGCACTGTTACTCCTTCTACGTTATAAAGGAAACTCATTTTATTTGACTTATATTTTCATTTATAGTTGTTCACTCAACTTTCCAATGCTTAACAATAATAATAAAATCTGTAGTTTATGAAATAAATCTAAAAGTGGTAAAAACCTGTGGTGTGCAAGAACTTTTGACTGGTCGTGTAAATGATTACGTGAGCAGCCAGGGAGGGAGGCTCTTCACATCATGTGACTTCACGCCCCGCTCAAAAGTTCTCTTCCTTACTCCCCCTCCTCCTTTTCTCTCTCTGCTGCCATGGAGATAGTTTGGGGGCTGCTGTCTAAACCCCTGAGCCCTGCTGCAGTTGCCCTCTCAGTCTGCCTGTGATGTGGGAAGATACAGGGCTTCTCCTTTGCTACCCCAGCTGCCCAGCTCTGCACTGTTTGTGAAGAGGGCTATGATGAGCGTAGTCGTGGTAACTGCCTCCCTGCCCGTCTCCGTGGCGACCTCACCGTTGGCCCGTCTCCCTGGCTCTCACAGCGGGGTTCCCCAGGCCTCGGGTGATTGCTCTGATTACCCAGTGAGCTGTCTCTCTGTGGGGGGGGCGGGCAGCCTCCTGGTCTGCTGGTCATAGGTCATTGCCTCAGCAATTTGGTGTGTACATTAAGGCAGGCTTTTTACTGCAGGTTGTTACGTGGTTGTCCTGGATTTACTTTTTGGATGATGGAGGAAGAACAGCATAGGCCAGCTCATGGCCACGTCCCCCCCCCCCCTCTCCCCCCCCAGCACCTACACACTCATAATTGACAGGCTTTATGTTTTTCTAATTTCTGTCCATCAGGGACGCGGGTTGATGATGCAAAAGCCCTGATCGCCGCCAGCCCGCTGAAGATCCTGGCATGTGACGACTTGGACGAGGCAGCTAAGATGGTATGTGGGGAGACGCCTCTTAACTGGGGAGGGAGAATCTAGATGTCATGGTCTTGGGCGGTCTTCATTTATTCACAGAAATTGTGTGATAAGCACTGAGCATGTTGAAGCACAGTCTATAATATGACCAGTGTTTGTCAGCCTAAACCTCAGGAAGCCCCAGACAGTCCACGTTTTTGCTCCCTCCCAGTGGGTTATCTGGCAGGCAGCTAAGAGGGAGCAAAAACGTGGACTGGTTGAGAAATTCAGAACTGAACTACATCCGGAACATACCTGAATCATGAATAGTTATATTCTCTTGAGTGCCTATAGGAATTCCTGGTTGAATTTGTATGACTGACTGTGTGGAATACCACACTAAGGCCTCTGGTCTGCTTCCTGTCCCTCTTGCACCCCCCCCCCCCCGCGCCCCAGGTGGTAAAACTCTCTGAAATCGTCTCCCTGGCAAAAGAGGCCCAAGTGGATGTGAAGTTCCAGCTTCCTATTTAACCTGCCCCCACCCTTCTGGAGCAACAGGAGAGTCTGTCTGAGCTGGATCCTCCAAAGTGTTGATATAGGGTTGGGTTCAGCGCTACAACTGTATTTCAGTCATTCTTTCTTCCATTCTTTAGTTTTTGTTTTCCTTCTTGGCATGTTACCTTAGGCCCTGGCATGACACCTTGTGCCCTGTGTCAAAGCAGCGTAACTGTGTGCCCCCTGTGTGCCTGCACCCCCTGTGTACCAGCGCCCCCTGTGTACCAGCGCCCCCTGTGTACCAGCGCCCCCTGTGTGCCAGCGCCCCCTGTCTGCCAGCGCCCCCTGTCTGCCAGCGCCCCCTGTCTGCCAGCGCCCCCTGTCTGCCTCTCCCTGAAGCTCCCCGTGCTCCACTTTATGCTTCCACACCCAGCTGCTTTTTTATTTAAACCCCACCCCCCTGCTTTCCCTGCCTTTGTCCTGGATGAGAATATATGGCAGCTCTTCTTCCTGCCCCCCCATGGCCTGACACTGCTAACACTGGCTGTCCATATGATGCAGAGCAGGGATGTCGCTATGATAGTATGATTGTTTGACCAGCCCCCAAAAAGGCGAAATTGGCACTCTCTCATCTGCTCTTACGTAGCATAATGCTATTTAATACGCACAACAAATCTCATCCTCTTCCCATATGGCTTCTAGGAATGAATATTGACCTACAAGCCTATAAATCTCCCACCCCCCACCCCATGTATGTTTAAAAAATGTTGGTTCTAAATGAATCTGTTTAATTTCAGATAGAAACGGGTTACTGTCCTGCTTGATACTCCACGGTATGATGATGATAAATAACAGTGGTGGTTTCGTTCCCGTTCTGTGTGCCTTTGATAGGTCTCTCACACAGGTGAGAGATGTTTTTGAGGGAAGGAAAGTAGATAGACAGCTGAGCCCCAGATGATGGTACTGGCTTATGAACATGAACATGCCAAAACGGTAGTAGCTACTGTTTCAGTAACGTCATTTGGTTATGTAGCAGTATTTAAAGCAGCCTAATTAGTGTAAGATCCATCTGTTACTGTCCAGAGCTGTCCAGGTCAAGTACGCTTGTATGACAGCAAAGCCCCTTTTAGAATGCAGATTAATGACTTACTACCCCAAGGTGTCGCTCTCTTTGATAAACTGCTGCCCACCCGGATGTATCTGTGGTTTCCTGAGCAGAACTGTGTATATATGGCTATGGAGTTTTGCTGAGGTGAGGAAAGGAGCTACTGTTGCCAGTATTAGGGTGGCTGATGAACAACTGCATGAACAAATTCTTTTGAAGTGTCTTTACTACCAAATTTATTGGAACTGCAGTTTATATTCCGAAGCTTAAGAATAGAATTCTCACTTTTCTCACCTGCCCGTTTTGTGTACATAAATGGATCTACTTCATTATGGTTTAGTCGCTCGCAGAATTACAGCCGCCATGCCCCACATGCTGAATTGTCCTCATCACCTTGTAATGTAGCCCTGGTATTTCTGTTGTTACTGCGGATGTAGAGGGTCCATCAAGGATTCAGAAAGCCTGTGTTGAAATACTGCTTCTCCGTTTCATTGTGCACATGACCCAGAATTGTAACGCGTTTTTGTAAATAAGACCAACTCCTCTTTGTTGAATATTTGAACTTTGCTATTAAGGGCATCGAGGGCATAGGACAAAGACTGATTATTAAACGTTTGGAACACCAAAAATGCTTCATTGTGTTTGGGTAAATGCTTATACACAGAAATGTAAAGAAAGTACTTATACATTAAAGTTAGAATCAAACAACATTGTAACAGACTTCTAAGGGTCTGTATAGTGTTGGTCAAAATGAAAAAGAAAGTCAGTTTCATTTTCAGTGGACCTTTGTTTTCCAATATATGCAAACTTTTTTCAGAGTCAATTCCTGTTATAAAATGGCCAGTATCTGCAATTTGATTTGCATATGCTTTAGCTGGTAGGTGTCTAAGAATTTCAATTACAGTCATATTCATGGTTAATAGGAAGGTACACAGCTAATTAATGTAAAAATGGAAGCTAATTGGGTCATTGACAGTTTGGGCATTTGAGTTGCGTGTTCACCGTGAGAGATGACGCCCGCTGATGAGCCTGCCATCCTGGTATCTGATTATTGAAGTGATCTGCAGGGTGAGTGTGGTCATGCCACGGGTCTCCTCGGAGGCAGAAGACAGACGCTTTCACCTCCTTCCAAGAATCAAGTGGCCTAATCACACAGTTGAAGCTACTCGTTATCCAAGTGGGTGATTTCTCCTAGTGAAGGTAACGATTTTGGCTGATTTCTTGTAATTTGTGTACTTGCAAAGTTTTGAGTAATTTGGTTCTCCTGCAATGATAACCATCCTCACTTCAACCAGATGTATATTTCCCAGTTCCTTCTTATTCTTTCAAACACTCAAGGATAACAACAAATGATTCAAATGATCAATGCTAACACGCTAACTGAATCTTTATCAAATGTGAACCAACCTCTCAAGATGTGCTGAAATTAGAGCCAGAATTCAATTAGCCACTTGATTAAAACAGATTAGCTAAAAGCTCAGCAAAAACAACAACCGTGGAATGTCTGTGAGCCAAGGAAATGTGCATATTGGAGTTGAACCCATTCTGAAATCCGCAGAAATTAAATGAAGGCTTCGGGAATTGACGTCTCTTGAAAGAACATTTGGAATCTCAAATGAGAAAAAGATGTCTTCCCTTCCAGCAAGTGAAAATATCATCTGCACAAAAGTAAATAACAAAATGATGCATGTGAATAGGGTGCCTAATGTGGAGACGCTCTTCCATTTGTTCATGACCAGTGAGACCTTTGCTGTCCTCATCTGTACGTTTTCAGACTTCCTGTTATGTCATAGACTGTAAATCATCTATGACTTTGGTTGCACTACCAACTGTTTCAAAATAATCAGAATCCCAGCCTTTTAGTCATCAGTGAATGAATTAGAACCACCAACCCATCTGTTTTCTGTCAACCGTGGCCACCACTGAAACTTTGGAAGCTGCTGATTAATGTTCTAAAGGGCCATCAGGATTCCTGTAAAAACATCCTCCATGTACCGTAAGTGCTTATTCAGTACAGGGCTGTGGTGAGCCCAGGAATCCGCTGTTGGGAATATACTCGCTGCAAAAGTCAAAAATGATTTTCAGATGCACAAACATCTTCTCTCACATGCTGAAAATTACAGTGTTTCTTTTATACTGACAGACTCGGCTGATCAATCCAGGAATTACAGGGAGAAGGCTACAAGGGCTGTTAGTTTTTATTCCCTTTTGTATAAGGTCTGGCACCCAACGAATATCTGCTCTTAGACAGAGGGGGGTGTAGTTACTAGGAATGATTAGCAATCATGAATATTTAGCCATATGTGGTGAATGAAAATTATTATTCTTTCCACGGGATAGAGTAGTTGACCATCTCCCTCATTATTCTGCCTGCAGGGCTGGGGGAGGAGTTAACAATAATGAAGTCCACTCTCCGTAGAATGAATAGTAGTGACTGCACATAAAAAGGCATACACTCACCTAAAGGAACACCTGTTCAATTTCTCATTAATGCAATTAT